TTTCTTTTTTTAACTTATTTTACAAAATTTTTAAAATATTTTAAAAGTAAATTTTTTTTTCAAAACTTTTTTTTAATTTCCCTAAATTTTTTAAATTTTTTTTTTTTTTTTTAACCCCTTTTTTAAAAGTCCCGGAGGGAACCCCTTTACACAATTAAAAAAAATTTTCCAGTTTTTTTTACATTATTTTTTTATTTTAAATTTTAAATTTTTTCTTAAATTTTTAAAATTCATTTTTAACCCCCCTTTTTCCCTTATCCCTTTTCAAATTTTTTTTTTTAAAAGTTTTTTTTTTAAAAACCTTGTCCTTTTAATTTTTTTCCCCCCTTAAATTTTAGTCCCTTTTTTCCCCATTTTTTTAAATTTACTTATTTTTTTATATTTTTTTTTAAAAAATAAATTTTTTTTCAAAGTAAATAATTCTTTTTTTCCCTTTCATTCCAAAGTTTTTTAATTGTTAAATTTTTTCCAAACCTATTTTACCCTTTTTTTTTAAAATTTTACCCCTTTTTAATTAAAAAAAAACTTTTAATTCCCCCCAAAATTTTTAATTCCTTTATTCTTTTTTTTAAATCCCTTTTATTTGTCTCCTTTATTTTATTAAAAAAAAAAACCCCTTTATTTATTTAAAAAAATTCTGCTATTTTTTATTTTTAATATTTTTTGTTTTTTCTTAATTTAACTTTGTTTTTATATAATCTTATGATTAAAACTTTATCTGATCCCAATTTTTTATACCAAAAATAAAAATTTTAAAAATTAACAACCAGAAAAAATTTAAAAGGGAAACCCGGCCAACAAAAAAAACATAACTTTTAATACAATTAGATTTTTAAAGAAATTCGATGCCCTTAGTATTACAATTCCTTACACCCAATTTGTCCATCTTTCACTACTAAAACCCTGGCAAACCTGATAGTCGATGTCATCCTTTCCTTTACAAGCCATACACAATTTAGGCCAGACAAAAGGGGGTGGACCCATAACTACCCCCAACTAAAAGTATCACTAATATTGCAAAAGGGATGAACAGGGGGTTTATAAAACTAAATTCAAATCCCCAAAAAACCCACAAAAAAACCTCACATTGATAAACATCTACAAGTTCCACAGTCAAACATTGCCATTTAGTCAAAACCCAGGAAGTATGAAAATGATGCACGCATGAAAAAAGATCATTTTACCTCGGTGACTTCAATAAAATTCCCGCAAAACAGGCCCACACGTTCTGAATTCACAAACACAAGAGTAAAAGTATGTTATACCAACAGTAACAAAAAACTACAAGGTTACAGGGGACTAGTGTTTCCCCACTTGACCCCATCGGACCAAAACATATCCCCTTTAAAAAAAGGTAAATTTAAAATAAACCACAGACCCTACCCCACTTTCCCCATAACAACTTTGGTAAAATCCCCAAGACATACTAAAGTCACCTTCGACTTCACAAGAGGCAGCCATTAATAATTCCAACACGTAGCAAACATTTATTGGCACACTGACTAGAAATCTATACAGATATTTAGAATGTATTAATAATTTTCTAAAAAAGACCCAAAATTAAAAAAACTGCCCCAAAAAAACTAAACAGATGACAGTAAGAGCTAAACAGTCCCTGGTAACACCCCGCATTTCAAAACCATAAATCAAAAACACCAATATGAAAAACAGTACAGAATGGTCAAAAACCCGAGACCAAAAAAAACGTTATCGTCATCCCAACCAGCCTGATAAGAAGGGCAAAAAAAATTTTATTATGAGAAAAAGATTTCCATCTTTCAGGTGATATAAAAAAGCCCCGGAAAAACCCCATTAAAATTTTGGGGAAAAAAAAGTTTTCACGAAATACGAAATAAAAATTTGCAAAATAGATGAACCCAACTCCCCCAACAAAAACAGCAACAGACTCAATGATTTCTTTTCCCTATAGGGCAAAACCTGCCAATAAAAACCAAGTCAGATACCCACCAAAATGAAAACCCCACCGGCAATACCCAACACATGTTCCCCAGCTCCGACTAACCCATACGAAGTCTCCCTTATTATCAAAGCACTAAAAAACAAAGGGAGGGATTTAAATACCTTTCCACCCTTTATAAAAAAAACTGTACGTGCTATACCAACCCTTGCAAAATCTTTAACAAATCCATAGAATCCTCCCCCTTCCTCAGTACTAAAATGCAAGGGGCACCCCGATCCACAAAGGAGGAGACCAAACAATTTAATAACTTGGCCAATATCCCAATTCCCCTCTTCAAAAAATCTTCGAAAAAATTTAAATTTTAAAATTACTCCTACCCTTTTTTCTCCCCAAAAAATACTAACCCCTGCCAATTTGGATTCAGCTAATAAAAAACTAATGGGCTATTTACCATGCAGAAAATATATACACTGCAATAGAGAAAAAAGAAGCCCCGGGGATCTTTATTTACTTACGTAAAAACTTTTAACAGTTGACATGACTTGCTCCCCGTAAAATTTTACACTAGGTATAAAGGGGCCCCCTCCTCAACTACCTCAAGTCTACCCCAGAAAAAGAAGCCAAAATGTGTACGAAATGGGGGCAAATTTTGCCAACCAATTACAGTTGGGCCCAAGGGGAAATGTCTTGGCCCTCTTCTCTTTTCCCTTACAAAAATGACCCCCAATGCTTTGCAATTACTCAAAAACCCCCAAATATTTGCGTGACACTACATACGTCTTCTCTCACCCGAGCCCGTCACGTAGAATACTGTAAATACGAATTACAGGGAAAAAATTACCTGGTGAGGACTAACAATTCACTAAAAATTGACAAAAAAATACTTCATTCGTTTGGTAAAAAGAGCTACAGATTTCCCTTTAACATAAGATAAAGGATCAAACCCATACAAAGCTAACAGAGGGGAAAATTCTTAGGAATCCACCCGATAATAGACTCAAATTTCATTCACAAAAAAACAAATTTCTAAAAAAATTTCCAAGACTGTGGCTTTCTATCGAAGATTACGGTATAGTTCCACGTAGCCCCCCCTGGCCCATATCCCCTCTTATTTACCCCATCTCCCCTATGGAATTTGTGCATGGGGTCAACAACAAATTTAAACCCTTCAGACCCCTAATTTAAAACCCAAAAAAAGGCCTTTCAGTTTTGAATGATAACAAAAACCACTACAGGGAGCCACTCCACCCAAAATTTAAAACACTAAAACCCACTCACCCTACAAAACTCAACTTATTACTGCACCTATTTCTAAATAAACACTTAACTCTAATATTAACCCTCCCTCAAACATTTCCTTTCCAAATCAACAGAACAATACCATAAACAAGGGCCCAAACACCTTTGATGTTCCTCGTGTCCTCTCCCCACTATGCAAAAACTCAATGCACATAAAACCCCAAAATCTGGAATTCTTTTTCTGTAAATATAAAGAAACACCCTGTTTAAATTTAAGTCTCTTCCAAGATCACTTCTCATCAAAACCAAAAAAATCTAATAAATGAACCTTTAATTGTTATCTTAAATGTTTTCAAAATTATATACATAAAAGTTAAACCCAAAACCCCCTCTAACTTTTTTATTTTTTTAAAAACACTACTCAGAAAACTCCATTCTACTGAATGTACAACAATGCATGCAACCATATGACCTGTTTTTGTAATACTCATTTGTGCTTTATAGTTATCTGTTTACAATAATGTATTATCACTGATTTCATCATTGCTTAGTTAATTTTAAGCCAGCCCGAAATGCTATGCATAGTATAAGTGGCTTTGGCATGCTGCTCTTTTCTGTATTTTTTTGTACCTCTGTATGTATGCTCAAATTGTTAATAAATAAATAAATAAATAAATAAATAAATAAATAAATAAATTGCATATGACTCCATGAGCAATTCCTTGATGTAAGGTATTTTGTTGTTTGTCGATGGCTTTGGACCCTGTATGTTTGCAAAGATAAATGTTATATTGATGGAATTTAGGGAGGCTTTGTTTGCTGGCACTAATATCTGTTGTTCTGGAGTGGAGTGACTGTGCCTCTACTCCAGAAGTGATTTCAGTTGGTGTAGGATTTCTGTCATTTATTGCCAGTCTCTTTGTCTTCCTGGCACTAAAAAAACTGCCTTCTCTGGAGAGGTTTTGGCTCCCCTCTTTTGTTTCCCATGGTCTGAGTGATCTGTATTTTCTTGTATCCTTTAGATGATGATGTGCCTGACAGTATAATAAAATTTTTGATATAATAAAAATTGCGTTGTGTACAGCACATTGTGAGAGTCGATATATGCTATTGATATTTGTTTGTGTGTCTAGTGTGATTAAATAATAAATCTAAGTGAAATATGATATGAAAACATGTGTATAAAACATCTGATTCATAAAAAATTATTAGAAAAAATGGAAAGAATATTAGAACTATGCTTGTCAGTATGACAAACTCTCATGTTGTCATAAAATGAGCACAAATGTCACCTTCAGACCTTCATATCTCCATAATTAATATAATTTCACTCATTCTAGTTTTTTTTTTTTGTACATCTAAAGTCGGTGAGATTTTTTTTTTTTTTAAATATCCAGCAATGAGAACACATTGTTTTGAACCAATAGGCAGTTTAAGGGTTAAGTAAATGACACTTTTAGTAAAATATGTATTAGTTACTGTCTTGACAGTTATTTTCAGGATTTTATGGAGATTATTCATATATAGTAGGTTTCTTTTGTAGAACATTCTTCTGTGCTCATTAACAAATTTCATAACAAAAATATCACATTAAAACTCATAGAGGATAGATGTAATTTCTGTGAAGAGTGACTTTTTTTTTTTTCACATATTTCCTATCTTTACTCAGGCTAGGGAAAAATATCAGATTTTGAAATATAAATCTAATTACATTATGCAATTTTGAGTAACATTTTTACCCTCTTTTTGGGTTAGAATATGCATTATGACAGGATAATTTAAGGAAAATAAAGATTTTTGAAAGTGCTCACTATCTAATGAGACTATTTTCTTTATTCAGTAGCACCAGAGAGAACGTGCAACATCGCTCTTCATCACATCATCCACAGCAGTTTCTTGGCTCCTCCATAAACCAGCATTAAAGTGTTGCAGCATAACTCTCCAGCAGCATCATGACTTCTATTATCTTATATTTACAGTAGACCATCGATTAGAATGTGATCTGTAACTTTTTCGTTACGTGACTGTTCCAAAATTGTGACATATTTTTGATCATCACTCCATGGAACTTTTGGGGAAGAAAGCTGAAAGCATGTACAAGAAGGTTAGTAACTGCTAATTTCATTAACTACATATTGCTGCACCATTAACAGTCATTCACTTACCCTCTTACACAGATGGTGAATGTGTTAGTGATTGATAATTAAGTGTGGAAAGTAAAGGAAAAGTGAAAGAAGAGTCTCGTGGCACTGACATGATATAAGTTTGTATGTAAAGTTCTGAGTCTAGACAATATGCACTGTTTATAAATTGTTTATCACTATGAGAAAAAAAACAACAAATGTGACTAAATTAGTTTATTCCTGCATACAAGTCAATATGTGGTATTTTCATATCCTTTGCTTCATGTGTGCTAAAATTTGAAGATACTGGAGATAGTTTATATACAAATTAAGAGGATTGACAGGAACTTCACCTGACCATGAGAGCGATTCCCCCAGTGTTTATATCTCTGTTTATCTTTCTTTGCATAATAAATGTTAGAACAGAAAGGAACCTGGATGTAATATGTATATAGTACCTACTTCAGGTATGGTATTTTTTACTGATATTTTCAGGTGGTAGTGGTTTTGGTGGACCCAGGTGATAGTTGTCAGGTAATAGTTAAGGAACTGCTTGTCATATGTTTGCACAGGTACTGTACAGGGTCACATCCGTGCACTCCACACATTTCCATATCAACAAGAAAAGACAACTACAGTGAATAGAAAACTTGGTCATTTTTAAGTTTTGACAAATTACAAAGCTTTAAAAACATTTAGTTATCCTTTTTTTGGGGGAGTCTAATGAACATAACCCTATTTTTCCTATATGTTCTTCTGGGCCTAGAACAACTGATGTCTTAACATCAACTGTATGAAGTACTGCAGGGTAAAAGAGACCAAAGGTACATTACAGAATTTCTTACTCCAATACAACCATTACTTTAGTGCCAGAGCTTCAACCATCCACCTCAGCTAACAATCCACCTCAGCCCAGTAGGGTTTAATGTCTAAAATAAATTTGCAAGGATCTTAGAGATGTAAAATCACATCAGTGTCTAGTTTGTTGAAAAAATTCTCTTCATAACCTCTAATAAAATTCTATAATAGCATGTATGAATCTTTCGTCAAACATTATATTGGCAAAATATGTGAGGGGAATTATGGTAGTGTTTTAGTGTCTTAAGCAATAACATTAATAAATTTAATATAACTTTATGTTCATACAAGGTATTAAGACAATTTTTTTATTCATTGTATAACAAACTTTTAAAATACTTTTTAGTAGAATGCAAAACTTGATACAGTGGAAGAGTCATACAGTTATAAAAAAAATATTTAAAAGAAAAGTTTAAATAATAAAAAGTGTTCATATGGAAAAAAAATATTTCTCGGCTTAAGAGATTCCAGTAAAGTTTAGTTTTGTTATATATATCAGAGTTCAAGGCTATTTTTAATAATAAAATTGAGGTCAGAATGAGTGCTCATACTGAAAATAAATTGCATCAGTGTTCATTCTGTCTTAAGGACTTCACACGGCATGGAAATTTACTGAAACATATGAAAACTCACACTGGAGAGAGACCATATCAGTGTTCAGTGTGTCTAAAAGACTTTGCCTGTCATCAAACTCTTTCACGTCATTTAAGGGTTCATGCTAGTGATGAACCTTCTCAGAGCCCACAGAGTGTAAATGACTTAACAAATAAATCAAATTTACTCAAACCTGCACGAGTTTGTAAAGGAAAGAAATTGTATCCAAGTTCAGGGAGTCAACGACGTTTGCCTAGAAAGATAGTTCTTGGCTCAGGAAAGAAAGTTGTTAATCAAACTAAGAAGCTTCCTGTCAAAGAGAAGCGATATCAGTGTTTGGAGTGTGAAAAAGACTTCTTGCAACATGTAGGTCTCCTGAAACATATGAGAGTTCATATAGAGAAGACACTGTCCCAGAGGACAGTGTGTGAGAAACAAAATTCTAATGTGAAAGACGTTTGTCAAGATGAAGTTAATACCGCAGATAAATTATATCAGTGTTCAGAGTGTCCAAGAGAGTTTACACGATATGCAAATCTAGTAAAACACATGAGACTGCACACAGGAGAGAAACCATATAAATGTTCTATGTGTTCGTATCAGTTTCCATTATATGTACATCTAATAAAGCATTTGAAGGTTCATATTGGAGAGGAACAAACTCAGTGCTTAGAAACAGTAGAAGTTGCTGCAGATGAGTTGCATTAGGTGTCAGGTATAGTTTACATAAAAGAAATTACAGTGGACCCCCGCATACCGATTTTAATCCGTGCAAGAGGGGTCATTGTTATGCGAAATAATCGTATGCGAATGAATTTTCCCCATAAGAAATAATGGAAATCAAATTAATCCGTGCAAGACACCCAAAAGTATGAAAAAAAAAATTTTACCACATGAAATATACATTTTCCTACACACAAAGAGAAGGATACATGCACAATAGTAGAGTAGTACATGCACAGTATAAAATTGTGCATGTACTAGTCTACTAAATGAAGAATAAATGACACTTACCTTTATTGAAGATGCAGCAATGACTGATGAGACACTGTGTCCTGGGAGTGCCTTTTCCTCCTGAGTACTGTAGGTCCTGTTTGGCATTTTCTTCCAGAACAGGCCTTATCACACTGTGTATGCCACTATGATTCTTAAATCTCTCAAACCAACCTTTGCTGGCTTTAAATTCACCAATATGAGCACTAGTTCCAGGCATTTTTCCCTGTTCACTTGGGTGTTAGTCGACTTGTGTGGGTTGCATCCTGGGAGACAAGATTAAGGACCCCAATGGAAATAAGTTAGACAGTCTTCGATGACACTGACTTTTTGGGTTATCCTGGGTGGCAAATCCTCTGGGTTAATTGTTTCTTGGGATTCTCAATAAGCCACACCAACAACGGTGCTACAGCAGCAGCAGCAGCTGACGGTGGTACAGCAGCAACAGACGATGCTACAGCAGCAGCAGACGATGCTACAGCAGCAGCAGACGATGCTACAGCAGCAGCAGCAGCTGACGGTGGTACAGCAGCAACAGACGATGCTACAGCAGCAGCAGACGATGCTACAGCAGCAGCAGACGATGCTACAGCAGCAGCAGCAGCTGACGGTGGTACAGCAGCAACAGACGATGCTACAGCAGCAGCAGACATGCTACAGCAGCAGCAGACGATGCTACAGCAGCAGCAGCAGCAGCTGACGGTGGTACAGCAGCAACAGACGATGCTACAGCAGCAACAGACGATGTTACAGCAGCAGCAGACGATGCTACAGCAGCAGCAGCAGCTGACAGTGCAGCAGCAGCAGCAGCTGTACCACCAATAGTAGCGATGGTTGATTGGGGTTTATTATACAACCTGGCCAGCTCGGAGACACGCACTCCACTTTCATACTTATCAATGATCTTTTTCTTTCTCTATGTATTCCACCCTTATTGCTGGGGGGTTGGCACTAGAAGCTTTTTTGGGGGCCCGGGTCACTTTTTTTCCAGAAAAAGCATGAAAACACTTAAAATACAAAATATTCCGATTGATGCTTGATGTTACCGGGGAGGCGGGCTGGTAAAAAATGCCACCGGGGGAACATGGAGGGGGGGCTCGGGCCGCACATTGGAGCGTCTCGGCAAAATGGGTGGCGGTTTTTTAAGGGGTATGCGAGGCAAAAATTTTTTTGCGATTAAAGCAAGCGGTATGCGGTTTAAATCTTTTAATGATCCATCGTATCGGGGGTCCATGTACATAAAGGTTCACGGGTCAAAGCTCTTTTTCAAAAAAGAAATATCTTGATGTAAAGAGAGAAATAAATCTGTTGGTTTTCTAGCATTTTTTTATGACATGTAAAATCTAGTAAAACTTGCAAAAAGTTAAATTAGTAAATCTTTTTAAAAACTCAGAGATAAAACATTTTCATAAAAAAATCTCTGGAAATCTAAGGCTGTCTGTATTATTAAAAAACCACTCTAGATAATGACTTTTTTTTCAAAAATTTTAAAATATGTATATTTTTATATTCACGTAAATTATGGTAAGAAACTAAGAAACTCATACAACATTATCCTAGTTATAATCATTATTTTGGTATTTTCCAGTGAGTTAAATACTGAAATTATACTCTAGTATAAAAAACTGTAAAACAGTCCCCTTTTTTCTAACAGTTTAACCACCATTGGGGAATTTTAACAAGTCATGTACATAAGTTAAAGCCCAGGGTTGGGGAGAAAAAAACAACAAGGACTCCACACAGTTTCCTTTTAGAACTGTTGGTATCTTGCTATTGTTTTCCCTCAAAACCTTATAATTATACTCAACAGTGTGCCAGGATATGGAAAAGCACTTTTATTGGGGGTGAGGCATGAGCTTTAAATTTTTAAATTTAAGAGAAGGCTGGAGGCAGTGAACCTCTTTAAAAGGAAAAATCCTTTAGCATCAAAAAGGGTTGATCTAAGGAATGGGCCTTTTTGGCTTCTTCCTCCCAAATGAACATAAATCCCCCCTTCCTCCTTCCCCCCCATCCCCCATCTCTCTTTCCCTTTTCCGCTTTTTGGCCCTTTTGGGGTCTTATTAATACATGGGCCTTTCCCCCAAAAGGGAGGGGGCCCAAAAAAAAAAAAACTTTTATCATCTTTTCCCCCATCGCTGTCTTGCTGAGGCATGCTTACACTACATTATAAAACTGCAACATCAACACCCCTCCTTCAGGGGGCGGCATGTATTCCCCTCCCAGGGCTCAAATCCACCTGGTTGGGGAAAGAGTGTCTTGTCCGTCCCATCCCCTTTAGGGCCTTAGTGGGGGTGGTGGGGTTTTCGTGGAATCGGGTTAGGATGTCCTATATTTTCCCCTTTAGTTTTTGGGGGGGGGGGGGGGTTAAGTGTTCTTTGAGTGACGGGTAGATCTCTAGGCAGGCTTCTGACATCCTCTCTTTTGTCCACCGATGTCCATGGATGTGAGGTTACTGTCCTGGATTGCTGGTTTACCGACATGAATGGCAGGGTAGGGCATGGGTTCCATGCAGCATTTGCACTGCTAGCTACACTTGAGTGCCCCTTTGGGCACAGAGAGGGGGGATATATGATTCCTTTCATTCCTCCTAGGAGCTACCCTTCCACTCACCCCCCCCCCCCCACTTCCCTTTATTTTCTCAGAAAAAATGAAACCTTACCATGGAGCCCCATGTCTGTGAAATTCCTCGTCCTATACTCCTTTATGTCCAACGTCTGCAAGTCTTTGACCTAGCTTCCAGCTTCTCCCCATACAGTGCAACGATTTTCAGACTGTCCGCTCATATCAGGATAGACCACCTCCAGTCCTGCACCTAGACGACCACGGCCATTAATGGATGACACTGTCTCAGTTACCTCTCACCCTTCCCAGAAATGATCGACATTTTTTTTTTTTTTAACAAGTCGGCCGTCTCCCACCGAGGCAGGGTGGCCCAAAAAAGAAAGAAAATCCCCAAAAAGAAAATGCTTTCATCATTATTCAACACTTTCACCACACTCACACATTATCACTGTTTTTGCAGAGGTGCTCAGAATACAACAATTTAGAAGCATATACAGTGGTCCCTCGTTTTTCGTAGTTAATCCATTCCTGGAGTTGCTACTATTATCGAAATTATGATTTTCGAATAAATTTTCCCCATAAGAAATAATGTAAATACAAATAATCTGTTCCTGACACCCAGAAGTATTAAAACAAAAAATTTTTTTTACATGAAATATAGATGTAGTACATAAACAATACAATGGGAAATGATGAATGAAACATTAACAGCATAACACTTACCTTTATTGGAGATTCTTCTTAGTGTATGGGAGACTGGAGGAGGAGAGAGATTGGATTGTTTACAGTTTGGAAGGGGAATCCCCTTTCATCAACACCTCAGGTACCAATTGCTTTTCTGGGGTTGCTTCTTTTCTCTGTTTCTTAATCTTAATGCCACTAGGACCACCTTGAGAGTCACTGGAGTCCTGTCTCGCAAAATAACTGTGGACAGCGCTCTGTTTCTGGCGTCTCTTTAACACTTCCCTAAAATGGCCCAAGACTTTGTCACTGTACATGTTGCCAACATGGCTTGCAACAACCTTGTCAGTGTGATGTTTCTCCATAAAGCTTTCCATCTTACCCCACATAGCAAAAATCTCTTTAATTTCTGAAGAAGGCATCTTCTTCCATCTGTCTTCCTCCTCCTCTGCAGCAAGATTCTGAGCTGCGATCTGTTGCTGTTCCTGCTGAAGCTCTTGCAGCTCCTCAGTGGTGAGCTCTTCATTGTGGTCTTCCACCAACTCTTCCACATCCTCCAAACTCACATCCAACCCCATGGAACTCCCCAGTGCCACAATTGATTTAACAACAGACATAGGCTCATCAGGGTCAGTCCTAAACCCTTCAAAATCCCTCTTGTCGACACAATCTGGCCACAGTTTTCTCCATGGTAGCTTATTTAGTACTTGCAAACACTAAAATGAGTGGAATATTATGAAATATTCCGTAGGAGCACGTGAGGGGACCTTCGCTCACTGTAAACAATGCCAGACTGGCTGGGTAGGGAGGCCGCCCCGGCTCACACTGTGCGTACGCGTTCCGGATGAACTACTATTCGCGAGTCAACCTATGATTAGCGAGCCCATGTTTATACGAAAATATCCCTATGATTTCCGAAATCTAGGATTCCTGAGAACTACGAAAAACGAGGGACCACTGTACATATAAAGATACACAACATATCCCTCCAAACTGCCAATATCCCAAACCCCTCCTTTAAAGTGCAGGCATTGTACTTCCCATTTCCAGGACTCAAGTCCGACTATATGAAAATAACCGGTTTCCCTGAATCCCTTCACTAAATATTACCCTGCTCACACTCCAACAGATCGTCAGGTCCCAAGTACCATTCGTCTCCATTCACTCCTATCTAACACGCTCACGCACGCTTGCTGGAAGTCCGACATGAAGACAGTTATTTCCTATACACACTACATAATGGACTAAGTTTTTAATTTTCCAGCAGACATCTCCCACTGACTATCTTTCTGAAGTAGACAAAATATTTCGTTTCATGCTCTTAAGAGTGGTGCACACATTGTTGTGGTCTGAAGTGCTGGCCAGGCACTGGTCATGATTCATAAACATACAATTGTTCACCATGATTTTCAGTAATGTGATGCTGACATTTTGGAACAACCTGAGCTCCAAGACCTCCCAATTCTGTACTTCCTGCCTGTGGACAGAGATGATATCCTTGTAATATCGCTAAGTTAACTTTTGACTGCCATGAACTTCCATCCTCTGTTTACATTGCTGTACACCGCTGATAAGTATGGAAATTGATTCCTTGGTAATAGCAATGTAGAAATCGCTGGTGCTTTGGTCACCTGGCAAAATATTGCAGGTCACTGGTAGAATGCTGCTGACCATAGCAATCCATCGTGTAGCCAACCTCCCCTTGTCTTCATTGTAAAGAGGTGCACTTAGCTTATTCTTGCCATTCCTAGGTTTTCTTAAGGCAACGAGAGATCCACTGTCTCGAAGAGAAAGAGGGTTACTCTTACGCAACCTCCCATTTCTTCCTTCAAGGGAGACTTCATTGGCTTTCTTATTCTGGAGATGCTAGACAGCCTCAAACCTGGGTAGTCCTTACTTATGCAGTCACCTCTTTAGTTTCCACTTCCACAGTCCTCTCTATGTCTAACCCTTTTGTCACCTTAGGCTACAAGGTTCCTACTTTATCATCTACTGTCCTTCATTTTGCATGTTTTTACATCTAAAAAAAATCACCAGAGCACAAATCTCCTTTTACCCCTAATTCACATATCATTTCCAAACAGTTTCCTTTTCCTTTCTTTGAATCTGGTCCTTTACCTCATAATGCATCTGTTACTGTTGTGGAAGTTCATCCACCCCCCACATAGAGTTGCTCCTGCTCCTGTCCCCAATTAAGTTTCTTCCCAAAATACCTGTAATCTCTCCCCTTCCCCATCCTCTTCATCTTTGGTGACTCTTGTTGTCTCTCCACTCTTTACTCGACCAACATCTTCTGTCTGCCTCTGACTCCATGCTTCCTGCAGCTTTCCTGTCATCTGAAACCATTGAAGCCATCTCTGCATTTATCGAAGAGACAAATC